GTTTTTCACTGCATGTGTTACAGTTAGAGACTTATTATACTTTCACAAATTAAGGCAATAGGATGCAGTACAAGTAAAAGGTGTTTGTAAGATAGTTAAAGTCTGAAAAACTGTTATTAAAACCATACAGTTTCTGAAAATTTCCTCTTAAAAATGAAAATCTTTGAAAATGAACTTTCTCTGCACTCTAGGATTTTTGCTGTCTTCACTGACTGGCAGCAGCACTGAGGGTGGTAGATGTTGACTCAGGCAGAAATGACTGTGTAACTGACATTAATGATTTCATAGCGCTTCTCTGCTCATACACCTTTATTTATCGTTATCCCCTATTCTCCTGTTTGTCACCTAAAACGTAAGTAATTTATAAAGTTTACTTTTATAATTATTACTATCAATTTAAAAAACAAATGGAGCAGATTAAACATACAGAAGCTACTGTGTTGTTCACACTTTATGGCCCCATTGGCTGTTCATTAAACCACTAAAACATACACAGATCAGCGATTATATCTTCTACATAGATTTAGACCGTACTGCCCTGTTTACACACTTTTTAAAAAAAAATATTGAAGGGTAGCTTTTGTGAACCGGTTGTGTAAATGATTATTTAAATTGTAAATCATACAAAGTTACTCTTGTATAGCTCAATAACTAAACCACGGATCTGGAAATGAACCAAATTCACTTTAAAATGTTTTACTCATTTTTTTTTCAGACTTGTATGCTATCAGCCTGAGGAGTCCAGGGCTACGCTGTCAGCACAGCATGCTTCTAAAGAGCACCGTGTGGTTGTCCACACCTTGTTTGTGGAGCCCTTCAACCCCATAATTGGAGCCCAGTACACTGTGCTGGGTGAGATAGAAAATGATGAGAGTAAGAGAAATATTTCACACAGACAGACAGTGTGCAAAAATGTTGCAGGGGACTGTTCAGATGTTAATTTACCCTCACATAACTTAAAAATGGAAAACATTAAGCAAGTGTCAGTTTGTCCTGTGTGTGGTTGACCTGATGCCAGCTTTAAATGCTATGTTTGTTTGTTTGCGTTTGTTTTGGAGCGACCGTGGCTCAGGGGGTTGGGAAGTGTTGGGAAGCGTCTGTTTTAGTGTTAGTGTTAATGTTTTAGTGCTATCACCTGCCTGTGTTTGTAACTTCTTGTCCTACAGGAGTCGGTGCAATGGTCCGTGCCCGTGTGCTGAACTGTGTTGACGGTGTAAACATTGCCCTTCTGGAGAAAGCCATCACTGAACAAAGAAACTTCTTCACAGAGAGGGAGCGCAAACTGGGTGCACAACCTGCAGATGCAACATGATCAGGGACTTTATTCATGTGGTTTCTTTGGTCATCAGAGCTGCAGTGATGCCCCTTGCTGTGCTGTCTGAACAGTGAACTTAATAACTGTCTAAATTTGCGTAAAAGACACGGGTTCACTTCTGAGAGTTTAAATGACTGTCCTGATCTGGGATTTTTCTGCACTTGATCAAGGGATTGCTTTTAAACAGCTAAAGCCCCACATTAGTGGGGCATTATTAGATTTTCTTGTAGGGTCATTAAAGAGTTACAAACAGATGGTTTGGGTTTATGGCTCATAAATATGTCACATTTTTAGTTTTGTCTGTGATTCTGAAGACTAAAGGTGATGATTCGGCATGGACACAGCTTTAAAGATATGAGCAAATATCCGTATGCATGTAATATGATAAAACTTCACTATATGTCCAAACATACTGGGCCATCAGGAGCAGCTTGGCCATGGAAACATCAGTGCCAGAAGAGGTTAGGATTCTGCAGCTGTTAAGCCAGCAGAGTTTTGGTGAATATTATGCATTGCACCTCAAGCTGGTGCCCCCTTTCTGTAACTGTGCGTTGTCTGCTACTTTGAGACTGAATTGCGTCTTAAAAACTTTGCAAACGTAATATTGGGAAATCTCATCTGACTGTTAAAGTTTAGGTCAGGTTTATGTTGTCTGTCCCATTAATTTTATCAGCCAAGTGTGTTCTTAGCAGAAGTTAATATTAAGAAATGATCAGATGTAGAAATTTTTGTACAAATTGAAATAAAGGATTGTTTGAGTCATCAGTGGCTTCCTTTTAAGCCCCTTTTTGGAATCTATCATTTGCCTTAAATGTTTCATGAAAACAATTTTAATATTAGTCTAAGATCACCCAAGTAAATTTAAAAATACAGGTTTTATTGATTAATTTATTTAATATTTGATGATTTCGCCCTATGACAGCTGGGATAGGCTCCAGCGCCCCCCGCGACCCTGAAAAGGACAAGCGGAAGCGAATGGATGGATGGATGGAATATTTGATGATTTAATTTATTAAGGAAAAAAACTATCCAAACCTACGTGGCCCTATGTCAAAAACGAATCCCCCCACTTTTTAAGTCATGAATTAACCGTGATTGAAAACCTTTTGTTGGAAAGCTGGGTTCTAGTTCACTAACCATACCCAAGCCTGATCACTGTCAGGCAAGTAGAATAAAAAAACCCCACTTAAATAGAACCTGTTTGATAAAGTGAAGCGGCCTAAAAGAACTCACAAAGCAACACATCATGCCACTGTCTAAAGAAATGGCTGAGAAACAAAGTTACTGACATCTATCAACCTGGAAATGGTTACAAAGATATATCTAAGGCAGTGTTTCCAGTGAACAACCCTGTGAGCCTTTATTCACAAATGGAGGAAACAGTGGTGATCCTTCCCAGGAGTGGCCAGCCAACCAAAATTACTCCAAGAACACATCATCGACTCATCCATGATTTCACAAAAGAACCCAGAACAACACTTAAGGTCCGTGTTATTGATTCAACAACGGGAAAAATACGGGACAAAGATGGGAGAGTTCCAAGATGAAAACCACCGCTGAACAAAAATAACAGAGAGTCATTGCATATTTACCAAAAAAACATCTTACTGATACCCAAGACTTTGGGGGAAGTATTCTGTGGATTGATGAGATAAAAGATAAACTTGGTGGAAGGGTTGTGTCCTGTTGCATCTAGTTGTTTCATAAAAAGAACATCAACCCGACAGTCAAACATGGTGGTGGTAGTGTGATGGTCTGGGGCTCCCCTGCTGTTTCAGGACATGGACGATCAGTTCATTCACTGAAGCCCAAGCTCACTTGGACAACGACTAAGAGCACATCAGCAAGTCTACCTCTGAATATCTCAAGAAGCAAATAAAAAAGAAGGTTTTGGACTGCCCAAGTCAAAGTCTTGTATTTAATCTTGTTGAGATACTTTGGCATGACCTCTATTACACGATTATATTATATTTTTCTAATATTAAAAGATGTTTGATGATCTGAAACATTTAAGTTTCACATATATAAAAAAAACTAAGAAATCAAGATGAAGTAAATACTTTTTCATAGCATTTTTCTTTACTTTAGAGACTGCACAGCATTGAAAATGAGAGTCCATACACTTTAACCATTATAATTTATTTTATTGATATTTGTTTCTTTATAAGGTATCAAACAAGATAAAATTCAATGAACAGTTTATAAGAAAACCCATGAGTAATACAGAATCAATTAATCTTGGCAAATACCATTGCACCATGTCCCAGTATCCCTAATAACACATTAATATTAAAGATAAACTTCATGTATACTGTTTTTAAATTAAACCAAAAAAGAAAAATCTGCCCACATCAAACATTTTTAGTAAACAAAAAAACTCAGCAGCAGTTATTTTGGCTAGAGAGAAAGCTTTGCAGTAGAAGACTTTTCCTGAGTCAAAATGTCCATTATAAGTAATGTATGGATTTCATATAGAAAAGATGTCTCCAAAAAGTAAACATATCTAAAATCTTGCATATCTAGTCGAATTGTACACTGGACT